CACAGACAACCTCTCGTCAATATGCGTTTTTCGCATTGCATTGCTGTAAAAAACGCATAAAAAATATCACGGATACTGTACGCTCTCGACCAATAAATTAATTTTTGAATATGAGTACTACCTTTTCAGGACCCGTAAAACCCATTGCAAGTATACATAAGTCGCAAGGGAATACTTCCTCGCTATCTGCAACTTCGGACATCCGCCACGCCCCATTTTCCGTTTTCGTCCATTCCACACGAACTGTTGATAAGCCATTCAAAATTTTCTGTCCTGTGGCACTTTCGCTGACCAAAAATTTCTATAGAATAAAAATTTCTAGACTGCGACGGACAAGCTCCACTTCTCGTATATTAGTGCTCTTGGACACAATTTTGTCCGAACAAAGCTGACGACATACGATTATTACTAAAAGACATAGTCGGAGAACAAATAAAATTTTCCTGTCAAAATTTCGAGCAACAATGCTGTTAATACAAGCTTCAAATGCGCTGGTAAAAAATAACCTTGGTGGATAAACCAAACAGGCGTGGGTCATCTCCTGCAATATGCTTACACTCTTCGTGCCCATAATCAGTCCGGAATATAATGGGCCATTGCGGCCAGGGATTGTCTGGAAATCGTTCATCCGGTGGTCGTGGCATTATCTCTAGCGCTTTTATACTTTCCGCTCCCTATCAAGACAGAGAAATCATACCAGCGAACAAAACATTGTTTAATGTTTTTTCGAAAAAGACATAACTGAGGCGGAACAAAACGCTGGTAGTAGAAAACAGAAGTCGCTTATATCTGAGGCTTTTCCAGCTGATTTTAAAATTCAAGAACTAGCAAAACTACTCTACCCCGTAATCAGAACCTCTTACATGTGGGTGAATTTGGAAAACAAATGAATTCTTCCATAAACCTCTGTTGAGCTGCAGACGGAAAACCTTACAGTGGTTTTAATATAGATTTCTTCACAAAATAAGAACAAAGGAATTTCACCCCAGCTAAAGCTTGCTTGCAGAATAAACATGACACAAGTGCAAAACAAACCAGTCTTATACAGGTACCGATACAATCGGTAGCGGTATCTCCACCTCCAAGAACGATAACACGTTTTCCTTTGGCATCTAAACCTTCCCATGCACTCTCCTCTCTTGCTAAAATCCGCTGGCTTTTTTCTAAAAATTGCATTGCAAAACAAATCCCCTTCGCACCACGATTCGGAATCGGCAAATCACGCGGCACCATTGCACCTGTACACACCAATATGGCATCGTTATCCTAAATGAAAGAATAAAAATCAGTTATTATAGAAGATAATTCTGTACAATCGATCTTTCGCAAACAGCATAAATAGAATTAGAATGTCTCAAGTTATTTTTCAGTTCTCTCTACCTAAATTACAATCCACAAAAGTCATACTGCCTTTTGCCTTCTGTGTGAAAATCCAGAGATAATCTATTTTACTTTTCATCACTGGAAAAGCTTGTCAAAATTTTTTCAAACCTTTGTACTTAAGAATGTAACTGTGCTAAAAGATCTAATTTCCAAGCCACTCAATGTACTGGCTTGATTAATTATGATAATTTTAAAATGCGTCCATTTTTTAAGTAACGACGTGAAGTAATAAATGAATTATTAAAAAAAGCTACCATTAAAAAGTAAAGGTTAGGGAATAGAAAGAAATCAAGCAGTTATAGCACGAGAAAGTGTTTGGAGGAATGAGGAAAAAGCAACCTTAAGTAGGAAATCAGCCGGCACATGTTTTCCTATTTCGGTATTCGTTATAAATTTGACGCCCTCATCTTCCAATAATTTTACTCTTCGATCAACCACATATTTATCCAGCTTCATCATCGGTATACCATATCTTCAATCACAACAGTAACATGCAAAAACAGTACCTTTTTTTTTATACATTCCGATCATTTCGCAAGTATGTACGAATTTAAATTTTTATGCACACAGTTTCGCCCAGTTTGCCTGATAACATCTGCTGTAACATCATGTTCGCTACAACTCAAAAGCATACACATTATTAGTGCGAAGAGTCTGATATTACTGAAATGTAGCCGAGCTTGGTGGAGACATACCAGTACTGGGTTACATTTCTACAGATGTTTCATCTACTGCGTTCAACTAGTACTACTCAGGCTATGATTCAGAGCAAACTGTCCTCCTGCTTCACGGAAGCTGAAAAAGGACATGTGACGTCCGCTAGCTGTCAATTAAATCAATGGCCTGCGCCACCCAGTGCATTCTATTCTTTCTCGTAGACACATCAACATGCTACACTCCACTTTCATGAGACTCGTTTCAGTTTGTCTACGGTTACGATACAAAACTCTGAACGGCCTTCGCGGAACAAAGCGGGCTGTAACAAGCAAAACACTCCACCGGTTTGTTCATCACAGGCCGCCCTATTTCTCTTGCTCTCACGAATGGCACCAACAGCACTCCGCCTTCAGGACAGTATAACAGAAGAAGTGAGCAGTGCCCCACCAATCTGCTGCTTGGGAGCGCACTGAGATACAGAAACAGTTTTAACAATCCCCAGTTAGAGAGTACGGTAGGCATTCGCTCTTGGTGCAAGATGCAGTTTAATCAAGATGCACATCGTCCACCGGAGACCTGACTTCAGGCTTATAACTCTCAGCATGGCTGAGGCATATGTTTTCAGGAGTTCAGTCTCTAACCAGCTTTCGCATTGATTGCGTGTTATTTAAAGGGAAACACAAACAGGAGCATGATCCTGCAGTATGTTGTTGTGCTGCACTGATCAGCAAAACGCAATAATGCCTTTCAGTCTGCATATGATCACACCACCGCACGTTTCAACTCCAAAAATATGAAGTTTGGGAACACTGTATTTAAGTTGCTAAAAGCTAATTCTCCCACCGCCCTGAATCCTGTTCTTTACCCCCAGATATGATTTCGCGTAATTTCGATCCAAAATTCCGAGCTTGCTTCTCTTCTACCCTCGAACTACAAAAAAACACCACAGAAAAAAATGACTGGATTGAGGTAACTGAAAACCATGCTAATTAATTCGAACAGTCATAAAGCATACCTCAGCAAGCCACCAGCACGGTTATTTTTCTCGTAGACGACAACTGCATGTCCTACTTTGTTCAGTTGTGCCGCGGCTGCCATCCCTGCAAAGAAATAAGCTTCATTTTTTCATATTTTACCAAAATTATTCGCTGAATTGCCAAGAAACAAAATGTTCTTTAAACCACATTTCATTTGCTTTTTCTCAAAAATAACAGCCGAAAGGAGCCAAAACAACATGTTAGTACCTAATCAAAGCACCCGCCCCACGTATCCAACACCTTACATGTTATTCTACGGTTAAGTCGAATTCCTGACAACCAGCAAGACAGCAAAGCTTCCAGTGCAATACGCACTCTCTTAACACCATACAAACTGCACAAAACTGTTTTTTTTGTGAAATTTGGTTTTAAGCCATTTCAGTTTTTGCTAGTCCCAACAAGATCTGTCAAGACTCGACTCAAATTTCAGGTACTTACTTAAAATTATCGTTGCAATACCAGCATTTTAGCATAACAGATTACCTGCTGGGCCACTTCCGATGATTGCAATGCGTTTTCCAGTGCTGTAGTTTGGTTTATGTGGCTCCATCCAGCCTTGCAAAAATGCGTAGTCAATAATGGCGCATTCGATGCTTTTGATCGTTACCGCTGGCGATGTGATTGCCAAACAACACGCCGACTAGAATTTGAGCTGGCTTCACAGTAAACTGATTTTAACTGCTAATGGCAGTTATAACACAATAAATGGCCTTTAAAAAAAATGCAGCTCGCTCACTCATGGAAAGGGTGGACATTTCCATCCCGGAAGATTTGTAAGTCATGGAAACAGCGACAAAGAAGAGGAGCTAATGTCTACGCAGCGATGCACCTGAATGTTGCCGGCGTCCGCTGGAATGCTCATGCAGGATTTTGTAAAGTGTAGGATAAGAATCTCTTAAAGAATTCAAATAAGGTGTGAAAGACGGAATAACTGCTGTACAAATTTTGCTAAAGACAGATCACCTCGCAAGGAGCTGGACAGACACGGCCCGTAAATTCCGGGAAATTATTTGTCTGCAGTAATTGTTCCAGCGCTTGCCGCCAGTTCTGCTTGAATACGTAATCATTCCATTTTGGTATGATATTTCCAAGTGGGCAGCCGTTGTTTCCCTGGCAAAATGGCACACCGCAATCCATACATCTAAACGCACAACAACCCCAGTAGAGTGCAGTGAAGGAGAAGTTACGAGAACCGAAGAAACTTCATTGATTGTGCACAGCTTCAAAAAAATCGTGCAAAATATTAGCCCCGTAAAATATGGAAGCAACGATTTCCGTTGCTACAAACTCATATTATAAAGAGAAGCTGCCTACTTCAGTGTCCCTCACTAGAAGAGTCAGCCTTACTTTGTGACGGATTTTGTTGGCGTACTGACGATCGCATTTCGCCTACCTTCGAAGAGCCTCGAGAAAGAAAAGGCGACTTTGCTGCTACAGCTCAATGTTTCTTTCCACAAAGAAAGATTTCCAGACCAAAAACTTCTCCCTCACGCTCTTTAATCAGCATTCGCTTCATCATAGCGCACCTTCGCATTACCACTGCAGCTAATAGCTTTCCACGGTTACTGGTACCGAATATTGCTTCAGGTGATGCCGGCATCGGTATCTGTTCCTCTACCTTCGACAAGAAATGCTAGTTTTATTGCAACCCTTCAGTAGCTCGGTGTTCAATCAGCTAGAAGACTAGTCTTCTCTTCATACAGTTTCAAGAGAGATGAGAAGAAAGAAAGGGGGAATGCGACAGACTTAATCATACTCAAGTATCCGAATTTACTAAACTCCCGATGCTATTTAGTCAAGAAAAAGTCTCCCAAAAAATTCATTTCTCATGGTTTTGAAATGACAAGGATCAGTGCCGACATTCCTTCGTTCATTTGGGACTGTTAGAACTTCAGAAGTTTATAAGGGTACCTTGCTGCCTGTTCACGAATATTCGAACGTACTGAACCATAATCTGTAATCTCATTCCAGGTTTTAATCCGTTCTTCAACCGGGCGATAAACGACCTTTTGGCGGCGATATTTCATAAAGCCCCTAAAAATACGTCCTGGAGGAAGTCAAGAAATTATGTTTGTCCAGGCCAATAAGCGAATATCAGTTTCTTTTTGATCTTAACTCGAAAGGATGTCTAACTTTTCAATACGACTGTACTGAAAATAATGATATACTACTGGAAATGTGGTCACTCCAGAAAAGCACATGCTGCCTATAAAAATGGTAAGACAAAGTCGACAGTTTATAAAGTACTTCTACGATCACGACTGAGAGATTACTGCCCATAAGAGTGAGGTTACATCCAAGCCCTCACTTTTCACAGATGGCAGATAACAGCAAAAGTTTGACTTTCGGACTTCTTTAAAATCACTTTCAGCCACTCAGTGCCTGATACAAATGATGAATAGCCAAGCTGAGCAATTTCTCGAAGGACTGTAATGTCTGGCACAAGAGCTGAAATTTCTAGCGGCTCTACCCTTCAGTATAAAAATACCTTAGCTTGTCCGGAGGTTCTTTGCTGTCTTTTAAAAGATTCATAACTGGAATGTTTTCGATATCAGTTGCAGATTCGTTAGCATCATCGGCATCGGATTCGGCAACATCAGACTGTTCGTCCTCATCGTCCTCCTCATCAGCTGCCTCCTGCGGATCATTCGCTTCTTCAAAACCCGTATAATCTTCTGGACGTGCATTTTTCGAGTATCTCCTACGACGATGAGGAACCTAAAGGTAAATTTTTGCACTAGTGCTAAATCACATCATACAGATGTTGAATAAGCTTTCTAATCATAAAGAAGAAAAAAAGACAGCAAAACTGTGCTCTTTTCAAGGAGCTTTCGCCCCAACGTTTTTTGGTTTTATTAAATAAAGTTTAGAAACGAATGATTACAGAACATAAAACATACGTTTGGCACTGAGAGATGTTTGTGGTTTTCCGCACCACCTATCTAAAATTAATAATTTTATTAGCATTCACGCATCTGGCAGTTGCAGTATGTAATGCTGCTTTCCTAAGGCGCAAAAGATTAGTTCAACTAAATTCGATAACACATATTATTAAGTTTGCTGAAATCAATAACACGAGGACGTGGAACATGAAGGGCTGAACAACTGGAATGCACCCGTTGGTTCTAAGATAGCACAAACGAAGTTAACGGTGTACATGGCAGTGGAAGAGACAGGATATTTTTTTTCCGAATGCAAAACACCTGTGCAGAATTCCACTGAGACGGAAAAAAGCAAATGAAAATTTAGGGAAAAGCAAATGAAAAAAATTTTTTTCTTATTTGACATCTTGTTGAAAACAAATGAACAGTGTCAGAGCATCACTAAATTTCCGAAGAAAGCGAAATATACCGAGAATATCGACCGCTTTTCGTGGCACATTAGTGGTCGACCGCTCAAAGACCGTTTGGAGAACAAAATGCTCATCCAAATGAGCGGGGCGTAGGAAGACGAGTATGTCCCTCTGGGTGAAGCACGTTTTTTGCAGTGTTCACTGACTCGTGGAAAGCCGAACATTAGTAAACTGTACTCGAAAAGTAAAGTGCGGTCGTCGAACGATTTTTGAATAAATGGCGCGAGCATATTGTAAATATGCGCACAAAACAGCATTGCTGTGTTGCGTGTCTGATTGCAAAAAAATCAAGTAGTTTGCATAGATAACTCGATCTTTTTTCTTTTTACTGAAGTTATGATCAAATTCTAACCAGAAGATACAAAAGATGATGCTTGCGTAACTTACGACTATGTTTCGCCTCACTGGTTCAATCGCGATCTGCATGTCCATTGACAGTTTGCGGCGTCGCGAACTTATCGACCGTGATAAAATCTCCTCTTCCGTCAAGACCTGCATAATAAGTCTTGTTGATGCAAACACAAAACCAAAATGGACAAAAAAGATATCTTTCTCCTTTTTTATCATCACTGAGTTCGGGTACTTCCAGACCGAAGCGAAAAAAATGCCAGTAGTTGGAGACTTTTCAAATATGTGGGACAAAAAGATGCAAAAGACGCAAAAACACAGCTGTAGCATATTTCTGGAGAAATAACATCAAACGGGTGCCAACGACCTTTTCCAAAAGCTAAGACCTTCACCGACTTGACTTATCGTGAACATTTTTCAAATTTTAAACAAAATTACAAGTTGAAATAATGATTTGGTACCTCGCTGTCTTTAAGTGCATTTTCTTTTTCTGAAGCCGCTTTTAATGCTTTTGCTTCTTTCAAGCGCTCCAGCGCACGCTTATAATCCTTCGGGAATATCTAAAAATTGGTTTAGAAGATGAAAAACGATACTGTAGCGAAAAAAGTATGAGTAGTGTACAATATTATTCTCCGATTCTGTACACTTGCTGCTGATATGGGTGCTATAAACAAATCCACGAACAGAGCGTTTTTCAGCAAAGAATGAAACTGAATGAGTAAAAAGTTTTGAGCACCTGCATGAAAAAGAGTTTGCAACGAGGACACCAAAACATTTCTAATGTTGCAAAAATAGCATATGTGAGAAATGAAAGGCAAAAGCGTGACCCTGACCTGTGAATGTTAAACAGCTAATGGATCCTGACCCAGAAGGCGCGAAAATGTAGGCTTAGCATAGCAGCCCCTAAATTCACATTTTTTCGAGACACTTTTTTTTTGAAAATCTCCCTTAGTAGTAATCCAGTAGTGATTTCCAAAGTTTATCAGGAAGAAATGCAGTGAAGTCAACTGATATCATGCTGAGTCTCTTACTCCACACTTGTTTGATTTCTTACGAGAGCTACAAAAAAAGACGAAGCACTACAAACCTTGATAAAATGCTTGTGTTCAGTATCCCAATTCTCCAAGATAGCACTACCAACTTTAGAATCCGTTTCCTGAACAAAAATATCAATCATTTCCTTCATCCATTCTAAATCCTCTTTGTCTGGTTCTTCCAGATCAACCGTTGCCATGTTCATGCAATATTTTGACCGACCGAAACTGAAATTTAATGCTCATGAAAACCCTCAACACCAAAAGCTTTAATGAAGATAAAAATTCAACGTCGTGAACGAATCCAGTGTCCAATCAGGTCTAAGTTTTAAATACCCAGTACTCGCTATCATACTCCGTATAACTCCACTTTTTGCCTTATGGGCGCCAGAATGCGCAGAAAATAATAGGTCAAATCCAACTGCAGCGCAAACCGGTTGTAAACAAATGCTAGGCCTCCGGACATCGCAGCAGCGAAATTTCTTCCAATACTGTGCAGGACAATAACTTTTCCACCAGTCATATATTCGCATCCGTGATCGCCAACACCCTCAATCACAGCTGTTGCACCGGAATTACGTACCGCGAAACGTTCACCGGCAACACCACGGAACAGGGCCAATCCTGCAAAAGTTGTTTGCATGATTAATTTTACGACATTTGCATAAATTTCCTCTATGTCAATGTAAGTTATTTCCTGGAAGAGTTTGTGACAAGCATCACAGGCCATAACTGCACCACAATTCTAGATAAAAACAACTGTTACTAAAGTACCACTAAAATTCTGAGGGCGACATTAAACCAACAGTACCGCACTGTGGTCTCCACAAGAGATGAGATGCCATTCTCAATATTCTCAAAATTTGTTTTCACGGTTCATGCATTTGCAGAGATCTTCTGGGTCCATGGTGTCGACGCTGAAAATGGCCTCTACACCAAATTTTGGGTTCTTCTCATTACACCACTTTTATGCGTTTTGTGCCGTGTAACAGCAATACAAAACGCATATTGTAATGGGGTTGTCTGTGCGCATGCCCGCAGCAACTTGTCCGCAATTTTCAACTCGGGAACCACAAAAGCTAGGAGGCTGAAAATTTAGGAAAACGTTCCCCACCCACATGCGACCTCCTGAATTTAAATTCAGCCTCCCCGTAGCAGCGGATAACAAGTACAGCCCCGAAAAAGTTTTGGCGGGTAAACTGTTATCTCGGGAACCACGAAATCTACAAAGCTAAAATCCTAGGGTAATGACCCCTTGTCCACGCACGACTTTGCAAATTCATATTCAACGTTCCCGTACTTTTGGGTATCGCTTACGACCTCGTGAAAATCCTGGTGGGTTAATTATTACCTTAGGGATCACAGAATCTAAGGGACTGAAATTTCAGGGCAACGACCCCCTGCCCACGTATGGCCTTGCAAATTCAAATGCTCTTGCGCTCTCGGGTATCAGCTACGGCTCCGTAAAAATTTTTGCGGGAAAATCATTATCTCAGGAACAATAAAAGCGAAGAAGCTGCAGTTATGCTGTAATGCCGGTGTGTGAGATTTCATGTCCGGTGCGTGAGATTTTTAACTATTTTTCAACGTTTCAACTATTTTTGCACAAGCTAAAGTACAAAGCAGTGAAAATCATTAACAAGCAGTCGTTCGGTGGACGAATTGCACAAAATGCATGATCGCACCGGCTAGTCTGGTGCGCGTTGCTATTTATTCTTAGTTTTGTGCTGCGCAACAGCTGCACAAAATGCATATTGTCACAGGGTTGTGTGTCCGATGTATCTTGTCCGCAACTTTCAACTCGGGAACCGCAAAAGCTGGGAAACTGAAATTTTATGGGTATATCCTCTACCCATGTGCGATCCAGAAATTTTAAATCTAGCTTTCTCGTGTCCGTGGATAAACACGTACGTCCCCGTGCAAGTTTTGGCGGAAAAAATTAACGGGAATCACGAAATCTAGAAAGGTGAAATTTTAGGAGGTTATTTCCTTCCCACGTGCAAACTCTAAAATTTAAAATCAGCTTTCCCGTGCCTGCGGGTAACACGTACGGCTTCGTGAAAGCTTTGGTAGGGAAAATTATTATCTCGAGAACCACGGAAGCTAGTAAGCTGGAAATTCGAGTTAATGAACTTTTGCCTACGTACAACCTCGCAAATTTAAATTAGCGTTTGTCGCGTCCTCGAGTGTCACTTACGGCCCTATGAAGCATTTGGCGGGCAAATTATTATCTCGGGAACCATAAAAGCCAGGAAGCTAAAATTTTACGGTAATGTTTTCTGTCTACACACATTTCCGCAAAATTTAAATTCAGTCTTCCCGCGTTCCCGGGTGTCATGCATGCCCCGTGAGAGTTTTGGAGCGGAAAATTATTATCCGGAGAGCCAAGGAAGCTAGGAAGCTGAAATTTTAGGATAGCATCCCCTGCCCACGTACAACCACCACAAATTCAAACTCAGCTTCTAAGCACGCTTGGATCTCAACGTCCCCACGAAAGTTCTGGCAGGAAAAACCATTATCTCAGGAGCCAGAAGAGCTAGGGAGTTGAAAATTTCAGGAAGATGTTCCTGCTTAAGTAGGGGCTTCATAAACTCACATCCAGTCCCTAAGTATGCCGAGGTCTCACGTATGGCCACGCAAAAGTTTCGTCGCAAAATCACTCGAGAGCCAAAAAATTGGGAAGTTGAAATTTTGAAAGGATATTCCCCTTCCAAGGTTTCAAGTTCAGCTTTTACGCACCGGTGCGCGAAATTTTTAGTGGGAAATCCCACAACATATGAACCAGACAACATTTCAACTATTTCTGCATATAGCAAAGTGAAAAGCAGTGAAAATCCTTGGCAGGCAAACATTCGCTGGACAGAACTGCGCAAAACGCATGATTGCACTGGCTACTCTGGCGCGTGTCGCTATTTATTTTAGCTGTAATAAACGGCATTTGGGTTCAATCATTTTCACAACTTTATTTGTTTTTTTAACCACCAAGCTACCTTGAATAACAGAAGGTGCCGCTTACTAGACAGAGGAGTTTGGTATTTCCAATGTCATTCAGAAATGTCCTTTCCCGGCACCTAATTTTGCCTTCCTGGCAGGATTCAGGTGCAACCTACAGTGTGCACTCGCTGACATGTTGCGCAATGCTCACTACATTTAGATGAAAATGATTTCCCTCATTTTGATGCTCCTTCCTATTTTTTTACATTCCATTTATTCAACTACGTCATATTCACCCATCTGTATCGTTTCAGGTTCAGCACATACCAGCGAATCGTAACATCCCCCCACTGTTTCTTGCACTGCTCGGGTAGTCCTTCTGGCCAAAAATTTGTTCCACACTTCATTTCTCCGCAGTTTCCGCACGGTTTACTTAAATTTATGCCTCTCCACTCAATTTTCTCGCTCGCTTTCTCGGCACATGGACAAATATGATATTCCTTTCCAAAGCTCCTATGCCTTCTTCAGAAGCAGAGACCGGGGAAGACAAGAGAAAGGCGGCTCCTCCCTCTTTCATCCTCTGGACAGGCGCAGGACAAAGAAGCTATTACAGGTTTTGCTTATTAAACTATCGACCCACCTCACACAGAATATACCTGGGCCTCACCCTCAGGTGCCTCAAGATACCGCGGATAGAATCTCTCGCAGATAACTGGCGATTTCAGCGATGCTGACAAGCTTCTCCAAAGCCATTAGCTGGGGAAAATGATACGCAGATAGGAAATTTCCCAAGCGGCGCAGTGCGAACGTATTTCGTTTATGTGTGCTTTAGCAAACAATGCTATGTAGGTGAGAGCCACCACCGATATCGCTGTTTTTGCTGTAAGCTGTGGCTGATGAAAGTAAAAGCATCGAAAATTAAAATCTGTGGCTTGTTTCATCTAGGATTTAAAAAACTGGGGAATATTTGGAGGGAATATAGGTAACAGTGGCGCTTCAAAACTGTTTTCGAGCCATCGAACCGGCCTTAGCAATCAATTTGTTAATGCCTCGCTGGCCAATGAGAGTCTATGACTAAAAGTGAAATTTTCAGCTTAATTCGTTATCATACTAAAGAATTATTCTGAATGTGAGCTTGAGACCCATATTTGAGATAAGTCCTCAGTTTAATAGTATGGAGGAAGTACAGCAAGGTCAGGGTTTATTTGCAAGCTCTCTGTCAACAGTGAATTAATATTTCAGTTTCCGGTTCGCATTTTTCTAGTATCTCTACGAGTTTATCCCGCACATGGATCATCGGCTGCAGATCAGAACAAAGCGAGTAGTGTAAGCTGATTTTAAAACCACAGTCGCTTAAAATCTGACTACCTAATTTCATAGATCTAGAGTTAAATTACACGGACGCACACACACGCAAACATACTTTGGCAACACTCACGCACACGA